GCAGGGAGTGAGGTGGGTGTGCCGTAGCAGTGAGAGGAGTCTCTAGGAGCTCGGGTACATGAACGCAGGTCAGGTCAGACACTAGGAAAGGTTGGTGGGCCGAAGATCACCCCGACTGGCTGGCACCTTCGGAAGGCTCAGATGGGTTGCGGTTGCTTGGCGGCCAATGCGAAGCCTTCGCCAGAGTACAGTAGAGTATAGGTAGGGGGTATCGGTCTAGTATATACTTTTTTTGCGTTATACATATATTATATATATTATGTATGTATTACTCTGGTTAGGTTAGGTATATGATAATGATATCAGTATAGTAGGGGGGTAAGTATGGAGTGGAGGTATAGGATATATATGAGTAGGTGTATATTGGTAGGTACGTATAGGAAGAGGTGTCAGTGTTGATGAGTATCAACATATGAGTATCAGTACTTATAATAGTGTATGTAGTGATACTACCATATGATATATACTAGTAGGCTTAAGATCGCGGTCAGGTAGGCGCCGGAGAGCTACGTATATATATACATGGGGGCTTGACTAGTTATTGGGAAGTGGTAGTATAATGTCATAGTGTGAGAGTGATATTTTCGGTTTGTACCCAGCACACAGGCACGATGTGTGCAACGTGTGGTTACCACCAGCTACACAGCTTAGGCCTCAGTCAGACACACATTCATACAGGCTTCACGTATCACGACACGCGCGGTTAGGTGCGCTCACACACGGAGCACAACACACAGTCACAAGTGTAGAACCGCGCTGGTCTCTACTGAACGTATCTGGCGTTGTGGTTATATAACTTGCGGTCGCGTGTGTGTCGGCGTGAGCCAGTTATGCTTCACATCATCCAGGTCACAGCGTGATCGACAGCGAGTGGCCAGCGAACACGCGATCATATCATGCACAACGGACAGAGTTAATATATCATTACAATTGCACTTAATGCAGCATATGCACATTTCCAGCTATATACATAGTACGTGTTGAGACTGATGACATCCCGACATAAACACAAGTGAAGACAGAGAGTACACGCATTAAGACAAGTATGAGAGTTCGGCATTAAGGAGATCGATGGTCTCACAGTCACAGTGTTACATTCCTGATTCCCATCCTATCACATCACCATACATCATCCATGTGGTTGTGGGTATAATTGGTATGATATCATTCGAGACTATATATATGTAGTATATAAATTATAATATATAAAGGATTGAGTGAGTATATCTTAGATAGTACTGAGTGTAGTACCTCATCTTCTTGTCAGGGAGTAATCGTATATATATATGAATTATATGTATGTATATATAGTGCATATATATATGTATTAGTGGCTAGTTGACGTTATGATATAAGTGTTGACGAGTTAGTGGTGACATATTACTCATTTGTAATATATAGTGCTATAGGTATAATTATAGTGGATAGTATATATATATTGTTTAGGAACATTCTTATATATATAGGGTGATAGAAATTATATCAGGCTGCTATAGTATATATATATATATATAGTACCTACTAATATATATAGAGATATATATATACTGATATGTATAATATATGATATATACTACTATAATGTGTGTGTATAATATATCAGTATTGATTAGGTATATATAAAGTATGTATTAGACTAGTCAGTGTTATATAGATAATTAGTAGGGAAGGTGTATAATACGTAAGATGAGTTGCTATAGTAGCTATTATGAGTTGTGAGTATTATATATGAATATCGATAAAATTATAGTAGAAGCTATAAATTAAACACGCACACACACACACAATGGTGCGTACATCACACGCGGGGGCTGGTACACATGCGCAGCAAAGTTCCGAGTCAACACAGGGGTTATCACAAGCGGGTAATTGGTCACTATGACGATTATATGGGCTCACAAGCGAGACACACACACACAGCAAGCTCATCACCACAGCGTATTGGCACACACACGAGACCACACACACACAGCAGCGTTGCGCACCGGGAGACACACGACCACACCAAAACGTGGGTGCTGCACACAACACGTGAGGCGCGACGTACAGCACGATGACACGTCCGTGCTTGAGTTGACCGTGCCGGGAAGGGGGCGATTTGGGTCGTACACACACAACATGCTCGCCCTATCTGAGACACACACACACAAAACAGCGACCAGCGACGTACACATCACACACACACACACACGATGCACATCACACAGCACACTACACTGCCAGTGATCGGCGCACCATTAGGCACACATTTTACCAGCACATACATGCGAGCGACACACGATACCAACAGGCATGCAATCATCTTTGGCACATGACCCCCTCCACAGACATAGCGCAGCACGACATACTATTGCCTGATCATACACATCACATCAATTACACTCATCGGTCAACCCCGGAATAACATCGATGTAACGCATACATCCATAAATGTGCTAGCACCAGCATATGACAGACGTGCATGATTTCATTGCTCGAGGCAGTCCGGATTATAGTCAAGCCACCATCTAGCACACTCCAGGACGAAAGACGGACGTTGGCGATCCTGGCATAGGCATGCGCTTCGGATTGGTAGTGTGGATAGATAGCGAGGGACCAGCGCTGTTATTCGTCGGAGTGGGGCAATTTTTGTTAGCAATATCGGGTGGCGAAGTGAAATACACCGCATGACTGATATCTGATGCGCAGATAGCAGACCGGTTCATCGACTTATACTCACGCATGATGCATATACGCATCATATACACGCATACTCACCTCGTCTAAATACTACGGCCACACACGCGCACACAGGACCACGACGCGCCAGCACACACAAGGGTGATCGATGTCGTACACACACACAGGATTCCTGCGGTATCAATCACACAGACATCGACGCCCACACGACATGGCGATTTCCAGAGCTGTGCCTTGTCTTATCATGCAGCTCACAAGCCTACTAGACGAGAAGGTCTGGACACACATCATCCACACAACACCACACACACACACACAAACACACACGCACACACGCACACAGCATCACAGCTGCAGCACGACTGCAACACACAAGCCGACACACCCACGCAACACACGCACGTTGCACAGCATTCCACGCACGCACCACGCACGCACGCACACCACGCACGCACACAGCGCACGCACAACGCTAATTGACACTGACACGCAAGCATCACGCACGACACACGCAACGCCACAACACGCACGCACCACAACGCAGCCACACACACACCACACACCACAACACACACACACACACCACACACAACACACACACACACCAGGTGCAGTGCGACAACCACACACACAACACACAGCCACACATCTGGTATTTGGGATAGAAGTGGAGTAGGGGGGAGCAGTCTATAACGGGCTGTCCTAGGGGTCAGGGCCGTGGCTAGTGCTGAGAGGCATGGGCAGGAGGGACGGTGTCCGCGGACACCCGGCCGGCGGGGGGGGACGGCTAGGCTGGGCACCACATTATCGGGTGAGCGTTTGAAGGTGGCGGGCGTGGGTACCGCGATCGTGTGTCGAGGGCTAGGGCGGCGTTGTTGACCTCTCGAGTCTGCTGACCCTGGGGTCTCGTGGAGTCAGGTATGATGCGGCGAGGGGACTTGTGCGTGGTGCGGGCTGAAAGAGTGGTCGTAAGCTTTGGTGTTCATAGTATGCCGTATTGGCCGCTCCTGAACTAGTTGTAGAGATTTACGTTTGGGCGGGGCGTGCAAGGATAGGTGGGCTCTTGTTCTCTAGCTTCTTGCGTGGGCGTGGGGCGATGGCCTGACACTGACTGTGCGCGTGATGCGGCGCGTATGCCAGACTAGTGCTGGGAAGAATGCGTTCGTAGCGGGCACGAGCTTTTGTATGTTTGTAGGTGCTGTTTGATGTAGTGCCGGGCGATTTTCGGTACTGGCGGCATGGAGGGTGTGGCGTGGTTGGAAGGAGCCGCGTTTTGTGGAGACAAGACCTGGCAGATAGAGCGACGATTATCTTGTCGCCGCGTCTGGGTACTCGCGTCGCGTCAGCCGACGATCGGCGTGCAGGCGGGTTCATAGGGGTCTTTCTCGCTAGCGGCTGTCCGATACGTTCTGTGTAGGGTATCGTCGCTGATGGAACAGATGGGTCAAGGGCTTTGCGGCGATAGTGCCTAGGGGGCGCGCCGTTCCCCATGCCCCGAACGTCAGAGGGTAATGGGGAGGCCACGTTGGCGGATAGGCATTTGCGTATCGGGTCACGTGGCAGTCGGTTGGAGGGCCAGGTCTGCCAGGACTTGGGTGTCGCTGCGCGGGAGGTCGTGGGTGCGGGCGGGAGGCAGTGCAGAGGTGCAGGAAAAACCTACGCGACGGGTATCAGAGTTAGCTGTTCGCGATGCAGGGAGTGGCAGACGTTCGTAGGACAGTGAGGTTGTGTCGTGAGACGTTTGCATATCTTCAGATGGAGGTGCTGTGGTCACTGTGAGCGCGGTGTGTCTCGCTCGGTGTCGGTTGAGTGTGTGCATGGCGGAGGGGAGATTTTCTGTAGGTGTTGTTCGTGCCAGAGGTGTATTTTATGTTCGTGTAAACGTAGGTTGTGCTCAGCTGGTAATGTTTTTGTGCGGTTGAAGGGATCCATGATCGCATGCTTGGTCTGAGGGCGTCGGTCGGCGGGCCTGGTGGCCGTGGGGGAGCGTGCGTGCGCTGCGCGGCGACGCTTGCCGGCTGCTGGGGTTCGGGCGCGTGTCTTGATTCGTCTCGTGGGCCGGTAGCGGGGGGCTTCTGTTCGGGTTTTGCGGGCGTCTATCTTAAGTGGGAGGGGGGCGGTCGTTAACCCTCTCTGCAGGGGGGGGTGTGTGGCGGCGGTGGCGCCTGGGGCGGGGGCGGCTGCTGGAGAGACGCGGCCCGTCGGGGGGGGTTTGGCTGTGATTGTCCGGGCGGCTCGGCACTGGGCGAGCGGAGGTGGCACAGGGCTGGTTCCGGTTCGGCGTCTGGCGGCCTCGGTCTCGGCGGCTGTGGCCGCGGCAGATGAAGCTTTGCGTGTTCGGGTGCGGGGGGGTCCGGGCACCTTGCGGGAGGCGGGTGGCCGGCCCGTGGCCGGCCGCGCGGTTGCCGCGCCTGGTGGCCACGGGCTGTGCCGCCGCCATTCACCAGTCCACCGTCGGCTTTTATCAGTCTCACGCGAACTTGCGACTCAACCTCCCGAGCGACGGCCCGGTGCTTCATGGGCTGGCGGCCTTGGAGCCGGGTCTAGGGCGTCCGCGCTATACTCGTGTGGTCCGGCTCGGTGTGCTGCGCTGCTTAGTGTTTGCGCGTCAGGGCCGTTGTGGTGAGTTGGTCTGTGCTTTTGTGTGCGTGAGGTGTGACTGCTTGGTGGGTAGTTGGTATCGGCCCGCTCATAAGTTAGTGGTTTGTGTCGCGGGGTGCTGCTCTGTCGTGTTCCGTCGGCTGTGCGGGAGACCCGCCGGTGTGTCGCGCGTGCCACTCCTGGTCCGGCCATGGTGTGTGGCGGCTCGCGCGGCTCGTCGATATGTGGCTCCCCAGCTGTTAGTGTGTGCTAACTGGCCTCCTGCGGTGTGTGCGCGCGGTCTCGTGTGCTCGGGGTCGCTTTCTTGCTGTCTGTGAGAGGTGTGGCGGGCGGTCGGGCACGTCGGGCCTGCTCCGGCTGGCTACCAGCGTGGCGCTGTGTGGTCGTTTGGTAGTGTCGTGGTGTCTTGCTCGTGGGTGTGTGTGCATGTGCCGCTGCTGTGGAGCCTGCTGAGCTTCGTGCCGTGGGCTGCACGGTGTGGCGGGACTCACGCGTGGAGCGACGTGTGGTGGGCTCGGACGCTTCCGGGCACGCGTTGCGGTGTGCTGACGGGAGAAGTCCGGGCGCCCGTGTGTGTCGCGTCGAGGCGGTGCGTAGTGTCGTGCGTGGCGGTGTGTGAGTGTGTTGGTGCGTACGTCGAGTGCTGTATCGTGGTGCGTGCGTTGTGTGCGTCGCGTGTGTTGCCGCTGTGTGTGTGCGTTGTATGTGTGTGTGCGAGTGCTGGTGAGTGTGAAGTGTGGTGTGTGTCGCCGTTGTGATGCGGTGGTGTGTGGTGTGCTGTAGTGTGTGATGTGTAGATGGTGTGCGTGTTGGTGGTGTGTGTAGTGTGTGTGGTGTGGTGTGGTGATGTGGTGGTGGGTGTGGTGTCGTGTGGTTGGTGTGTGTGGGGTGTGTGCGTGTGCTGGTGCGTGGGTCAGTGAACGTCGCGTCGGGATGTCGTGGAGGTTCGGACGTATAAAGTAGTGTCAAGGTCCGAGAACTAGTATAATATAGTGGTAATAGAAAGGTGTGGTTGTGTGTGGTTCAGGTGTTGTATGGTGGTGGGGTGTGAGTGTTCATCCAAGTTGACTGGGGCTGAGAGATGTTGTATACATTATGAATGTACTACGCTATATGAGTCTGTACTATGGTGTGGTAGGATATGTCTGCAGTGGCTCATCATCGCGTTGTGACTAATGGCTTGGGTGTATGGCGTGTGTTGTTATGTAGCGTGTAGATCGAAGACTAGACAGCGCGTTGTAGTAGTAGTGCAGGTTTGTACGAGTTTTTAGTGAAGTAGGAGAGTTAGCGAGTGACTGGTCGGATAGTAGGTCTGCATGTATTGATGTGTGGATGATGTGTATGGATCTACATGGATAGTCAGTATACGCGTTGTGTATGTCTGTATGTTGATGTGTTTGTGTGTTGTGATTGCCTGTGGTGTCGTGGTGAGCGTGTGTGTGGTGTGTAGTGGTGTGTTGTTGGTGTCTAAGAAGTGTGCGTGTCTGTAGGTGGTGTGTGTTTTGTCGTTCAAGTGTACTTGCTGCACAGTACGTTTGTTTTGTGATGTGGTGTGCTCGCTCGCTCTTGGTGTGTGGACGCATGTGTTGTTGTGCTGGTCTTGTCTTACCGGTGTGGGATTACAGGTAGCAGTAGTGTCAGCAGCATGACTACTAGCACTCAGCGATCACAGGCTACGCACACGCTCTACACGCACTACACGATTACACACTCGCGACAAGCACTATGGGACTCACAGCGATGCTCAGCAGTTTGGTGGCTTAGTTGCCATCAGGCGACAGCACATGAGGTCACGGACACGCATCACACGCGCTTCGCGGATCCGATCGTTGCGTAACAGCACGATCGCAAGCAGCGATCACCACGGCTAGTGCTTTTATGTCCGGTTGCGGGAATTTTATATCAGCAGCGCACATACCACACGCTCATTCGGTGGATCATCGCACTACACACGCCCATTGTACAGCTACGCCCCTATATTATGTCTATCACATCACACACATCACACACACACGACACACTTCAATCCGCACTGCGAGCATCACGTCATACTTACACTCACTGCACGTTGCTGTGTCACATCACGTTCACTTCACTTGCACGTCACTTCAGGTCACATCAGACTCACTACTCATCTCACGTGTACTCTGCACCGTCACTCTCGCATTCGATGCACTATCATCCTTGATCACTCGACAGTCACATCTATACATTACACGTGCACGATCACATTCCACTCTTCACACTCACATCGTACATTATCACCCTGCACAGCACTAGCACACACACAACACATGACAATAGTGACTACACAGCACCAGCGCCACAGCATCACAACAGTACACACATCACTAAACACATCACACACAGCAAACGATCAGCACACCGACACGTGCACCACAGCACGACACGCATACTAGAGTCGAGCGACCCACAGCACACTCAGACCACACAGCACGCTTCATCAGATTATCACAGTATTTGTGTCATGCTTGCATGTAGAGTCTGGTGTATAATTGTCTGTAGACTTAAGTGGGATAGGAGTTATAGTCATTCTACATGCGATTTAAAGTGGTTGTATCGTATATTAGTGATGAGCGGTTATCTCTTACGAGTCATAATGGTCAAGGCCTGAGCGATTTAGATCATCATGATTATTAGCTTATGCGATCCTATTATATATGCATTGTAGGTTTATTAGACGAGGTATCATATAACATATTATTAATAATACCATATAAAGTAGATATAAGTATCATTACTAGATATAATTACTACTTATATTAAGTTAACATAGTATATATCTTATTTATATAATACGAGATATATAGTGACTAGTCTCAATATATGTATAATTTTTATAATTATTATTGTTGAATATACTATTATAGAACATAGCCGATGCTTATGACTAACTATAATGGTAAGTAGACGCTTGAGTATCATAGAGTTCGGTTGGTGCATTGTCTATAGGCCGATGTGTCGAAAGAAGTAGGTGTAGTGATATATATTGTATTAATATAATATGACATATATGATTAAGTTATGTAATATATATCGTATAATATTATATGTACTCTATAAGTATTATAATTTATGAGTAATATATTATATGTCACTATAATATTAATATACCGACATATAAGTGTATTACATATATATGGTATACTAGTGCTCGCTATCATGGCTGATAACTGTTGATATATGATATGATTGATGACGTTCAGCTAGGGAGTCTTGACGCTAGGTACCTAGTGTTGCTGTTACATATAGTTAATTGGCTATATATTATGCTAATATTAAATATATATATCAGATAACTCACTCACTGATACCATATCACGTGTGTATATTAAGGTATGATATATATGTATATTGTGTGTTGTGTGTGTGTGTGTGTGTGTGTATAGGTGGATGTGTGTGTGTGGATGCTGCCTGATGTGTGTGTGTGTGGATGTTGAGTGTGTTGTAGTGTTGGATGTGAGTGAAGTGAGTGTAGCTGAGTGCAGTGAGATAGAATGTAGAGATGAGTGGATGTGAGTGAGTGTAGATGATGTGAGTGTGTGTGTGTGCCTCATGTGCTGCTGTGTTGTGTGGTGTGTGTGTGTGTTGGTGCTGTGTGTTGTTTAGTGTTGGTGTGATGTAGTCGCTGATGTGTGTCGCGTCGTCGCTCGCTCTCGCTGTTAGTATGTTTGGAGTTGAGGTTGAGTGAGTGAGTGAGTTGTGTGAGTGGGACGTGGTGGAGTGAAGTGTGAGTGGATTGTGATGTGAATGTAGAGTGATGTGAGTGAGCTGCAGTGAGATGAGTCGTGTGAGTGAGTGAGTGAGTGAGTGAGTGAGTGAGTGAGTGAGTGAGTGAGTGAGTCGTGTGTGTTGTGTGTGTGTGGGTGTGTTTGTGTGTTGTGTGTGTGGTGTGGGTTTGTGGTGCGCTTGTGCTTTGGGTGGGTGTGTGTGTGTGTGTGTGTCTGTGTGTCTTGTTCTGTTGTTTGTGTTGTCTGTGTTGTGTGGTGTGTTGTGTGTGTTGTTGTGTGGTGTGTGTGTGTGGTGTTGTTTGTGTTGTGTGGTGTGTGTGTGTGCAGTGATGTGCATGAGGTATGAGTCACCATATGTAATTGATATATAGTTGTTGCAGATGAATTATTATCTATGTATTGCACAAATAAGGAAATGTTAGTATCAGACATAGAATTTGAATTTAGAAAAAAAACGGTAGTTAAAAAGAATGCTACAGATCTTGTGATATATTCAATCAAAATAAAGTGCGAACAGGAAATACATGTTTGTAACTTCGGATTGTAAATTTTAGATGGTTCTAGGGTATGTATCCGTCGTTGTCGAGTGATACGAGCCAGAGTGCATTTACGTCCTGAGATGGTAGCATGATGTTGTTGCGCTGGAAATGATAGCTTGCCTTGAATGGAGTTTGTGCCTGTTTGTGAGGTCCCGTGAGTTCAGGGCGCTTATGTATGCTGGCTAGCAAAGTTGCATGGTAGCAGCTTCCAGCGTGCTGTCCTGTTAGATCTTAGGCATTCTTTGCGTCAGAACTTGTTCCAGAATAATCTGATAGTAGTGAGTATGTGAGGTAGTGCTTGACTTTCCTGCTATTACACCGAGCGCCGACTTTCTATTTGGTGATGATTTTGTATGACTATATAGTTATTTAGCTATGATTTGATATTAAAGAGGTGTTACTTAAGATGTCTGTAATGAATTATAGATAGTTTTTAGAATATACTAAATAGGCAATTATAAGTAAAGGTTACAGTTGTTTGATAGGGAAGTCGCTCATGTCTCATCTACTTGCGCGGCCTGATTTCACCTGCATTGTTCTATTATTTAGGATAGCCTAATCACTCACGCAAATTCGCCACTTTCCTAGCTAGGGCCATTCCACACGTTTTTTTGTTGAGGCTGTTTGAGGTCTGTGTCAATAGTTTTTAGGCATGTGGAATGATCGCCACAATTTTGGTTTAATAGTATGTTTTGTAGTTTTAAAGGAAACTGTCTGTACATTATTCAAGGTCGTGATTTTATCGTACTTTTTGTGGGAGGGTTAATAGGCTACAGTGTAGCCTTTAATAGCCATATGTTTGTGTTTCTTTGCTTTGGTTTAGTGGTCAGATGAAAAATTTCATTGTGTTGAAAGATGTATTACTTAGTGTTGAGAGATATATTTTCACTTTAGAGAAATTAATTATAGAAATACCATTAACAATAGTAAAATTTTACATTTTTTAGAAGCAATCCAAAAACTGTAACTGGTATTAATAAAACCGTCTTACACTTCATTGACATACAGATCGAATTGAAGGACTGTATTGCAGGTGTATCATTATTTACACATCGCCGAGAGCCAGTGGGTGTTTGCATGGTCTTGAATTAGTTCCCATGGAACCGCTTCACTTTATGCTCCTCTGTACCGTTCTAAACTTGCTTCTCAGCACTCAGTTATGTGGCAATGACCTGTAGTTGCGCAACCGCTCAAGACTTTACTCTGCTGTCACATGCTCTCATGATGCTGTGGGCTAAGGTTCCTTCGCAGATGCAGTAGATTATGAAGGACACTAGTGTTTTGTGTGGTGCGACAGAAAGTATAATAGGCTTAGGGCTCGGTATATTAGGCTAATGCTAGATCATTGTCCACGTCCTCTCTTCGAGAATTTGTGATGATGTGACTTCTTCTATTGCGATAAAGAAATTTATGTATTTTATGATAGATATTTCCTACTTGTTCAATCAGCTAAATACTAGTGTGTGCCCAAAAACAGTAACGATATGGTACAGCCATAAAGAGAGGCATTTGCGGTTTGTGTTATGTGCTGTGTGTGATACAGTCTAATAATGCCACCATGACAAATATGTACCAAATTTTTGGCGCAAAATTATAAAATTCAGCTTTATTTAATGAACAGCTTTACAAAATATTAAAAATTCGGTACACGTGCTAGAAAGTAAAGCAGGAGATGGAATAATATGAAAGGAGATATCGAGAGACGGAAGGAGTTATACGTAATAAAACAGCATCACTATTGGGTGATTAAGATAATAACTAATGTGTGTGATAAAGGAATTCATATAGACAGTAGAAAACTTTTATTTCATGACAGTGTGTAACTTATATAAGAATACTTTGCTTAAGATCCACTTAATGATTAACACAATAATATTATGTGGTATATTATATCATTATAAACTTCTTTTGCCAGACTTTCCTGCTGGAGTGGTGAACATGGTGTTTGGAACAGGGCCCTCGGCAGGTGAGGCTTTAGTGAGCCATCCTGAGGTCCCTCTCGTTTCTTTCACCGGCTCGACTGCCACAGGGAAGCACATAGCCCAGGTCACAGCACCCATGTTCAAAAAACTGTCATTGGAGGTATTTATATAGGATGTATGTTTGTCTGAGTTATTTTATGTTCCAATCCTTAGTAACAGAAGAGTATTTTAGCATTAGAACAAGGAAATGACTTTTATATTTCATGAATTTAACAACTGCAAGTGGATATTGCTGTATAAATGTATTATGCTAGAGTGCAGGAAACAGTATATCTCACTGATAACAAAATTCTCCATCTAATTAGTCTGTGGTGCAAAGTTTAGTGATTATGTAGGCTGCTAGTTTTATCAGATATGGCTTTACAGAAACTCATAAATTGTTACAAAATTTATTGCCATTATTTTGTAGTAACTTGCCTGAAGAAATTGCTGTAATTTTCTATTGATATACTTGCCTGCATTAATTAATGTGTCAAGTGTATGCAAAATGGCTAGTATAGATTTGATAGACTGCTATTTTTTTCAGATGGGTGGGAAAAATGCAGCTGTAGTTTTCAGTGACTGTGACTTAGATGCTTGTGTGAACACGCTCAAGAGATCGTCTTTTGTCAATCAGGGTCAGGTGTGTTTTTTTACATCACATTTTGCTTCTCCTCCTTTTTGCTTTTTGTCTCTTTAATACTTTTTTTTCAACCTTTTTCATAAATTGTCTGATAATATGTCGCACAAATTTTTAATTTGTTTATGTTTTCATTTTCTTTTTAACCAAGTTACTAACAAATTATAGTTATAAAACTATGATAAAATTAATTAAAAGATTTTGTGTGTGACATAAACATTATCATTATCAAAAATATCTTTAGGTTTGCCTCTGTACTTCAAGAATCTTTGTTCAGCGTCCCATCTATGAGACA